TCGAAGCTTTATAAGATTTTGATTGTTCTTTAAAATAGGCGAGAAAGACATTCTCAAAAAATGATGGTATTTTCTTATTTTTCCTCCATTCCATAATTTTTTGATAAGCACATTCATACTTTTCTCTTGATTTTTGAGGCAAAAGGTTTAAACTTGCATTCAATGCAATTTCAACAATTTAAGGAGGTGTGTTTTTCATATATTCAACTTCTGAATCTGAATTATTATTGTCAATTCCTTCCATGTCGAATTATACCTATATTGTATAATATGATACGTCGTGTTATCAAATATTTAAATTAAAAATTAATAGGTAGGTAACTATTATGTATTATTTTTGTATGAAAATAATTCAAATCTTATCATGAATATAACAAATGTCAAAATATGATATTACGAATCACGAACTGTCAGCAAATGCAGCCTCCTACGATAGATGCGTGGGAGATCTAGTGTAATAGTTATGTATTGTTCTTCACGCATGTGTAGTGTGCGGTACAGGAAATTCTGCACGACTTTTCGCACAGTGTAGGAAATTATTAACTTTGAACGCAAGTAAGCCATGTCTATTTGTTTACTTTCTATAGTGATCGTAGAAAAACGCATTTTCAGTGACACGTCTGGTTCTGCACAGTATGGATAGTCGTAAATTGTAAATAGTTTGTCTTTTATTATCCCTAGCCGATAACTTGTTGTATGGTTTTATTAAATGTCGGTGCAACTGAATCGCTTCATCTCCTACCACTGAATTGAGAATTAGGAAGAAATTCATCATTTAGTAATAAGTTTCCCGAATATACCTGATTCCTCATCGTCGAACTAGAAAAACTAGAACTTTCTCCCTCTTTTCCGTAATCACCAACATCAATAAACCTAATGTTTTAGTATGCATCGACAATTGCAAGCAGGACAATTAAAAAATAACCTTTGTAGTTTAAAATAGTGAACCAGTATTTTCCATCAATTCCTGCAACATACTTGGGAAAATGCCAATGAAAAATTTAAACTACTCGTAATTGTAAACATAGAACTGAATGATATGCGAAAGGCAAATGTCTGTCAAGTAGCCAGATATCGGAAAAATATAAAAATAGTCAGAAACCTACTTAAAATATTAAATTTTAAATAATTGTTTAGCTGGAAAATATACGTGATAATTATTTAAAAAACAAAAGGAAGCAATAACAAGGAATTGGTTCCGCGGCAGCATCGCGATCTACCAATTGGCCATTATTTGAACATTTGAAATTTTTAGAACTGGTGAAGTCTAAACGAAGGTAAGAAGTTACTTTTTGTTTATGAATAATTCCTCTTATAATACCCGTTATTACAGGTCGCCAATTCAAAATTTTAAAGAAGTCAAAACGACAGTAACTCACAATCGCAACCCTTTGATGGTGATGATTCTACTGATTCAGAATCACAAAATAGGACAGCAAACATTAATTAATCGTATCACCCGCAAAAAGAGAAAAAACAAATATAACCACAGGTCGTTATAGCACTCCCTTTAGTCGTTCAAATACGTTATTAAGTTAAGTTGTTAAAAAAACTCTCTGTATACGCAATTAAAACCCGGTTTACCCTATAGAACAGGTGGCTTGATATCCATAAGTTGTTATACCCCTTCTTGTAGTTCAAATTAGATAAAAACACCCAGCAACCGATTTATAAATCAGTTTTAACTGTTCTCTAAATTCTTTACAGCGTTATATATTATAAATAAGAACAAGTGAAAATGATTTATATATTATATAAACTCAGGGAGAAACGTGATTAGATTAAACAAGAAAGTGTCTGAGAAGGAAATTAATTTAAAAATCAAACAAGGCTAACTAACAAATCAAAAAGCGATTCTGCGAATAAATTTCCACCACAATAAATCAACTGCCACTTGGTTGAGCCTCTACGCACGCTGCTGCCCCTTCTCATTTCCGGCTCCTTGCCCTGCAGCATCCCTACCATCCTACCACCGACCTATCACGGTAATCTTACTCAGTTTTACGTAAAATCGTAAATCACCATTTTTTTTTTAATTAGGGATTATGCAACAGAACACTTTTTGCACCAGGCTCACTGTTCCCCTCTTGGAAATGATGAAGTGCTTCTTAGTTCATTGATTTAGAGTTAATTTTAGAATATAAACCGCTTGCGTCCATTTATAAAAAGATAAACAAAAATGTATCTCGAAATTTGCAAACAACCGTATTTCCTTATTACAAAAAAGAACATTTCTTTCTCATTATACGCTATAATACCTCATAATGTCAAGGAAAATAGCAGTTTAAAGATACAATTTATTCTTTGAATACATTCTTTTGAATCTAATAATGACATACAGAATGATTCCAAAGTTGATAGATTCTTCTTTTATGACTCATTAAAATAAATAACATTTTGAACTTTTTAGAGATAAAAAGTATCAATTTGTCAAATAATAACCTATTATTCAACGGTTTATTTCCTATGAAAAGTTACTAAGCAACTTGAAAAGGCCAACTTTGCAGAATCTTCCAAACAGAAATGCAGATGGCAGCTAGACTAGAAATAACTTACAGTAAGTTAACACGTTAACAGAGGACCCCCAAAATTCCTTTCAACTATATGAAGAAAAGGATCTTCCAAACAAAGTAACTGATCTCACTAAATAAAATTACAAATGATTTAATTACTGCAGAAGTTAAAACAACTTCCGAAAAAAGTAATAAATAAACTTTCACGTCTGTTTAATATCACAGGTTTACGGATTGTGAAAAGTTTTTTTTGCATTACACCTAGCGTAAATACCTAGCCTAACCAACTAGAGATTTTTCTTTATGAATATTTAAGATACGAGTTCAAACTAATGACACTCCTCTCTTATTTTCTGGTATTCCAAGCGAAAACAGCATACTTCATTTTCGCATGTACTTTTGTACCATACACTCACCAACTTAAATATTTTGTCCTTTTGACTCTTCTCATCAGATGTTGGTTGTCCAAGGCTGCACGTCTTCGTGGTAATGGAGTTTTTTTTTTTTTCGTATTTTGCGACAAAATTTTTGTTTCTTTCTCTACTGTTGGCATCTCGGTGGAGATCGACATTCCATACGTACCATGGTGCATCTACAATTGACCTAGTACTTTATTTTGGAATAGCGGAAAGACACTAAAGTCATTATGATCCCCAAACCAGAAAAACCTAAGGAAATGTCTTCATATATGCCGATCACTCTACTATGTTATCAAAACTATTTAAAAAATACTTATAAAATGACTGAAACTCATCATTATAAAACGAAAACTACTTCCAAATTACCATTTGGACTTTCTAAAGAATAATTATTCAACCATAAATCATGTTCATAAAATCTCTGATGTGATTGGAACATCTACATAGATGTTACTTAGGCTCTTGATAAAATATGAGCTATTGGACTCTTGAAATTATGCATGCACAGAACTGAAAAAAACAAATGACAGTAAGAATACCACATGGAAGCGTCCTGAGCCCTATTTGGTAACTGCTATATACTTTTTGAGGTAGTCAATTGAATAAGCTAGATCAAACCAATGTAATATGCACATTAACTTAGTATAATAAAGTTATTAGGCCTTAAGGAATACTAGTGAGTAGAACCTAAGTGTTTTTAAGATTGCAACCTAAGTTAAGTTAGAATAAAAATACCAGTAACAGAACCAGAAATAACAATAACAACAAAATACCAATGATTTAAGTCTGATAACCTTGGTGGCCATGCAATAAAGGAAATAAATTACAAAAGAAAAATACAAATTTGCGTCATTAGTGGCATGTAACACAGGTGGATCGATTTCTTGACCAGTTGCGTTGCCACCAAGGTTAGTAGACCCACATTTTTTGGATTCTTAGTTTTGAGTTTTTGTTTAAATATTTGTTTTTATTAATGACTTTTATTAACAATAAAAAAAAATTAATAACATTATAATCTACTAAGATCAGTTTACAATGAATTCAGTGGTCGCTTCTCTATTTTTTTGTTTGTTTAATCTAAATTAGTCTGTATAAAGAACAAAATGTGTTTTCGTCATTACATTTATGTATACTCAACTGCATAATATTAAATCTCTAGTCTGTTCTGTTATGCATGTAAGCAGAAGCATATTGTTGTATGAAATGTTGCTTGACAGGTAATTTTGTTTCTTTTGTAATTTACGCGGAATATATTCTATGGGGTATTAATTAAAACCAATCTAGCTGTAGAGAAACTTTGTATGCATTTAATTTAATTATTTTGATACTTAGAATATTCATCAACTTTATATAGAAACAGAGGAAAACTAGTTAATATGTATAGAACAATTAAAGCGAATATCTACACAGAACATGTCTTTAAACAATATTGAAATCAACAATAAATAAGAACATAAATTCCAGATCATTTAGAAACATTTAAACTATTTAAGCTTCTTTATATAAAAATATTTTATCCACGTAAAATATGCATTTGGGGCATCTTCTTAAGAGTGCCGACGCAAAAATATCTGAACCGTTTACCCTTTTAACTTTAAAAATAGAGTGAAGCACCAATGAAGAAACAGTTAATGGATTTATTATTTTTACTGTAATTATTTATAGCATTTAAATAAAAATATTTTTTTTCTTTTTATTAGATGATCTAGCCTGATGTACTTTGTTTTAAATATAACTAGTTGCAAAGCAAATAGGACAACAGATTGATTTTTAAACAAGTTTTATATTCAAAAAATACCAAAAACCCAGTAAAGAAACCGGAAATCTAGTAAAGAAATTTTAAAATTTCAATAAAGAAACACACTTTCGTGAACTATTTAAGACATTTTGTTGTACAAATAATTAGTAAATCAACATAAATAATTGTTCGCCTGAAAAGTCAAAATATAGAACTAAAAATGTAAAATAAATCTTATTCTAAATTATAAAAAATTTGTAGGGTATGTTTAAATTTTTTTTTATTAAAAACATGTCCTTATTGAAGTTCTGGCACTTTAAAAAAAAGCTTTCAAAAATTGACTGGTATAGGTTGTTCTATGTTCTTCACGATATCTTTTTCAGGGTACCAAATCTGATCAGGTATTATCGGCCATTTCCATAGTCTGTCGAGTCGCCTCTCCATAACACTCACCTCGAACTCACTTCGGTTGTCATACTTTTTAATTACGCCTGGAGACTGCTTTTTTTCATAACATACAATGACATAATCAACACCGTTATATTTATCTTGCGGGTATGCTAGAGGTAATTCATCACCGTCAAAATATTTTCTATCACTTTTACCAATCACTGCCTTATGATTCTTAGTTTTACTAATAGTTTTGGTCTGCTTTCTTCTACTAAAAATATTATTGTTTTCTTTCTTTGATACTGTTTCCTTTTTATTTGTTTTATTATTCTTTTTTAATTTCTCTTTCTTAAGTTCGTTTAAAGTTCTTTGTAGTTTTCGATTTCCCACTTCCTGGGCATTATGTTTCTTAGTCTCCTCTTCTTGCTTGCAATATTCTTTAAATTTGTTGCTTGTTACTACATATAGCATATATGTTTTTGTAATTTTCTGTGCGTCGGTTGCTGTTTTATTGTAATCGTTCATTGTCAAGTGTTTGTCCCATAAAAAAAAATATGCAAATATCAGTTAAAATATTAATTTTCGGATTCTTTACTTCAATGTTTTCTTTCGAGTTTTCTTTTATGCCACTATCTAATTTGTTATCAACTTTAGTGTTGAGTGATTCATTAGTCTTTTGCGTCACGACGGAATTGTTATCTTTAGCATTTTCTTCAGTCTTTACAAGTTTATCGCTATTATCTAATATCACATTATGACTTATCTCAGATATTTCTTTGGTTCTGATTTGACACATATCCTCTGCTCTAAAGGCTTCCTGCGAATGTGCAAATGTCTGCATTTGTTATGTTTTATTAACCTATCGTCTTTGATTTTGATATCATTTTGATTTAATACTGATTCATCAGTTCCTTTGCTATCAATATCATTATTCTCACAACGGTTATCTGAGTGGTTTCTGTCGAAAGCGCTATTTAAAATTACACGTTCTGAATCGATTTTTGCATTGATATTATCTTTCGGTTCACTCATACTTTTGTCTCTCAAAATGTTTAAATCATTTGTCATTCCCACAGTGTCAGTGCTTTCTGTTGTTGCTATTGTAATATCGTCACTTGCTAAAAATGAATTACCGGCTCCGTCATCCAACAATACTACTTCATTGGAAATAGTAATATCATCGAATTCTACTGGCATTAAATCTAGGTCATCTTCTGTAAAAACTAAGTTATTAAAACTTTCGCTTCTATCTATTCTTTCCTGGGCATGATCATTACAAAAATTCCAAAACTTATAAAAACTATCCTCATAAAACTGTTTTCAATATTTGAAACTTTTTAAATTATTCTTTTGATCGTCTGTTAGGTATATGTTAAGAACTTTTAAAGCTGCTTGAATATCGTCGCGATCTATGGCTCACCTTTTTGTTTATTAAGTTCTTCTTGTCTAACAGAAATGCATTTTTCGTATTCCAAGGCGTTTGGATCAAACGGAAATAGGCCACAATGTTTGAATCCATTTTTGATGGTTTCTGTAGATAATTGATCATGTGCTGCTTAAAAAAGTGGAGCGAACTTCACTTTTGTGATGTATTTTCCGGTTTCTTGTTTATATTTTCTAACAACTTTTCTCCACCCAGTTTAAATATTGCCACATCACAGGGTTGTAAAATGTGGGTGGCATTTGGATATGGGTAGTACAAAATAATTTGCTTCTTAGAACAAAAATTGGATAGAGCCAAATTGCTTTTCGGGTCCCGAGAATATTTAATAAAAGTTCCTGTAAGATTTAGGATCTAACAGTTTCCCAGATTTTGGACAAAGCTGAACCCCCATTTCATCAGCATTATATATCCTGGCAAGTTCCAGCAGAACGTCTTCACAGTTTTCATTCACACAAAATTGTTGAACTTCAGAAAACCAATTTCTTAAGGCTTTCTCTGTAACAGATGCCCTAGCCTTTGAAATTATTTTGGCATTTATTTTAACGATATGAGGGTGCCGTTGCATGAAAAGCCAAAACCATTTTTTACCCGGTCTTGTCTCGTTAAATGGAATTTCGGCATTAGAATCCACCAATATCTTTTAAAAAGAGTCAAAAACACTTTCTGGATGAATGGGAAATCCAAACTTAGCTTTTGATATTATCCAGTCTGCAAATTTTTTTTTTTTTAATTTCGGCGCTAAGCACAGTTGATGGGCCCATTTTTTGGGCAATAGGGGTAAGCCCTCTAACTTTTTTGCTTAGAGTACCTTTTGTTATCCCAAATTCTCTCGCTGCATTATTAAGCTTGTGTGTTTTAAGCTTTACTGCCTGAACTGCTTTAACAAGGTTTTCTAAAGCGACTGGAAAAATTTGTTATAACATCTTTTCCAGGCATACCTAGGTTTGTGTTTTTTCTTTTTGCAAGTATCTCGGAAATAAGAGAAAGTGGTGTCTGTTGAATGTACCCAGTAAAGAAACCTTTAGTTTACCCAATAGAGAAACCATTGAAATGACGTTTCTTACTGGACCTACTAAAAATTTACAAGTATAACGAAAAAATTTATAGTCTTTGGACATTAATGTAACTTTATGTAAAAAATACAATACTATGTTACTATTTTTCTCAAAATCTAGCTAAGAAACACTCTGTTTCTTCACTGGATTTTGAGTGTATTTAGATCCAGTTAAGGAACACTGCCAAAACAAGTACCAATTTTCAGGATTTTAACTATATGACCTCTAAAACAACAAACTATAATCAAACTTAATTAGCTTAAGCATTCTTAATAACTTAATGTTGACTTATATCAAAAATACAAATGTTTAAAGTAGGCAATACCTATGCTTATCTTAGATTTGGCGAATCCAAAATAGAGTCGCGAAAATAGCACCTTTTTCTACAACGTTTTACAAACGACTAATACAACAATACACTTTAGAATCAAATATCACTAAAAGTAGGAATGCCAACTTAAATGGCATTAAACTCGCGGAAAATCTAAAACGTACCCATTCCTTAATATATTTAAAAATGTAGATTTTTGTTTCTTCACTGGTGCGCTTACCCTATTTGTATTTAAAATGGTCGGAAACGAGAACAAAAGTGTCTAAAAATTTCGTCGAACTAATACAATGGATGGGAGCCTCAGTAGTATTTTTTTTTGTTTTAAATACTTTCCCTATCCCTACTGCATATTTGTAATTTGCTTCAACCTGTGGTGACATTTGCACAGTACGACGAAAAAAATACTTAAAAATACCATGCCTTCCCGCCTCCTGTTTATAATACATTTTGAAGTTTGAATTTTCAACCTAAAAAACAGTATATTAATTGAAATTATGAAGTAAATTACAAATACAATTTTAACGGAAAATCAGTTTTAAATTTTCCCTAATTTTTTCCTTTGGAGCCTTTTCGCTTTTTTATCGACTTAATTATAATTAAGATGGCTTTAATGTCATCACACAAATTTGCTATGCATTTTAATAAGGGTTTAAGCCCTTCGAACCCAGAATATTAAGCAAAAAAACCTCTGAGGTAATGGTTGCCGTAATTTTTAACTAGAAATTTTATGTCATTAGTTACCGACAAAGAAAAACCGAAATCAAAGAGAACGATTAATAAGTTTTATATTGTGATTTTATTTAGAACTAGATATATAGAAACTGAATATTTGCTAATTGTCATTTAAGAATTTTGTGTCATACAATAAATACAATGTCATAACTAACTATGATGGAGAAAGTATTTAAAATATTAAAATTGTAGTTACTACAAAAAGAATAAAATGGATACAAAGAATAGAAGAACAAATTAAAAAGTGATTATGTACAGAAGCTAACTATAAGAAAAAACGGGACTATTATAAAGAAATTGAAGAAGGAGAAGACAAATGTGTAAATAATTATAGAAAGAAAGTAAAATAAAGGACATCCTGGAACAGGATGACTACTTTACAAAGAAGACATAGGTACATTTGTTGTTCAACAGGAAAGATCACAATTACAGAACCAATTAATTTAACAAATGTAATGCTTAAAATATGTAAAATATAAAAATACAATATAATACAAAAAAATGCAATAAAATACAATAATGAAGTAAAGCGAGTTTAAAAACCAACAGCAGGTTGCAAGAACGATCATTAAACACTTAATCTTTCATTAAAAGTCTAGTACAGGTTGCATTCTGCTTTTAATAAATAAAGGCGCCGTGATTTGGCAATATCGCTTCGATGTCTGATTAACTTTAACAGATGTTCCATCTTTATTGATTAAAATTTTGAATTTTTTTATTATTGTTTTCAATATTCCAGCCAATTTATGTGAGTGTCAAAAGGTACTTTGAATATATAATACAAAAAAAGTTGAGTTCGTTTAGTTGAAGTATTATAATGGTTGACAAAAAAAACGCAGACAATTAGTGCTACCGATGGAAGAAAATATTTGAACCATCGCGCATCACCACTAAGTAAGTAGATTATTGAGTACATAATAGTACAAATGTAAGGGTTATAATTTGTTTTGTTTTATGTTTTATTCATAAATATATTTAAAAAAATTCCTTCAAAAATATTTATTTTATAAGTTCATACTTAATTTTTATTTTTAACCATATTTTTAGGGTTTAAATTTTGGGCAATTAAACAGTATCTTCTTGCTTAGCTAAAAAGTTGTTTTGGACAAAATAACTAGCTGTTATTAAATATAAAACTGATACAATGAAATCTGAGATACTTATAACACAACATAGACATATCACAAATATATATTGTAGGGCCATCTAACAAAACGAAAACAAAATTTTACGAGATGCCAAATAGAAAGAGAGAAAGGATAATTGAAGGGCTCGGCGGAAGAGGGTATTAAGCCACTCCAAATCAGTTTGGAGTAATTCACAGTTTAGTATTTCATGTAAATCGTGAAATCACATTTACGAAGTACATTTTATTTCAGTTTAATACCAACATAAAGTTTATTTTACAGACTAATAACTCAAGAAAATATCCTAGATTAAGAAAAAATAAATGAAAATATAACAAAAAATGTGGCTTGTTACCATTTTAAATTCAAATTTTTATTAAATTTATTTGTAAACTTAACTTAGTCAATCGAAATTCAAACATCATCTTATACATCATTATTGTCATCGAAATGTTCTGCATTGTCTTCTTCTACATCTCCACTGCTGAGTTTTCTACACCGAGTTCTCTATAAAATTCGTCGTAGACTGGAGGTAAATAAGGAAGGAGTGCTTTAAGATTTGCAAGTTTCTTTAGATTGATTGCCATGAAACTGTTATACTTCAAGGGAAGCTTGCAACAAGTTGGGAATTTTGACGTTTGTATTCCTCTTTTTCCAATACTATCGGATTTAAATGATTCATTCAAATAGTGTTTTACAAACATTGTATAAGGATGTTCTGTTTCAAAACTGAAGCATCTTACTTGACTAAATTTTTTTTTGTTGATATAGTTTTGCAAATT